AAGGAAGGAAGGAAGGAAGGAAGGAAGGAAGGAAGGAAGGAAGGAAGGAAGGAAAATATAAATATGAGATATTGAGTTCTGAAAATGTGGTAGACATTTCCTAGCACAAGCTGGAAATCAAACTGCTTTTCTTACTTTAAATTATGTGTGTGCACCTATATATGTTCTGGGTATTTCTCTGGGCCCAGAGGATAACATTTACCTCCAAATTAATTTTATAATCCCACCTAATAATGTAAATATGTTTAAATAACAGCAAGAGTATGTGTGTGTGTGTGTGTATATATATATATATATAATTAAATATATATATATATATATATATATATATATATATATGATAAATCAATCAACATGATTTCATCAGTTACAAATTGGATTTAAAATGTATTTTGTACAATATAGTAACAGCTTTAAATTGTACCTGATTTTTTTTCTCAGTGATGTTAACAGTTAACAGTGTCAATATCAATTTAACTCTTCCATGTTATATTATTGTTTATAAAGCACTACTTAACACTCTTTCACACTTTCTGAAACAACTGATTTTAAGATCCTAGATATATACAGATTTTGACATTTCAAGTTGATAAAATAAATACAAGGGCTTTTTATAATCATACGTAGTAATAAACTGGGTTTTAAAACACATATGCAGTAATTAGTAGTTGATGGTATTTTAATTATTTTGATTTAATAAATTTAATCAATTGTGTATTCTTGCCTTGGTATTTATTTTAACTACAATATTATTTTAAATACAATATTTTTGAATGAATAAAGATTTAATTTATTTCAGACCACCTATATTTGCTTTCTTATAGTATATTTGCACTGATCTAACTATACTAACTACACTTTCTGCTCTATATTTCATATAAAGGAGGGAAAACATTATATAGAAACAAAAAGTATATTCTGAACATTAACATGAAAATTTGTAAAGTGGTCATATAGACAAAGAGACAATCAAATCAACTTATGTCTCTGTGTGGTTTTGTTCTGGACATCAGAAACCCTGAAGAAATGTAGTTTAAACAAACAACCAAATATATTTTGAGATTCTACAATGATCTTTTAGCAATATGAAAGACATTGAAAATTGTGATACACACACACACACGCATCCATATCCAGAGTAATATATGTTGTGATACATATAAATTTACAGTAATGGGTAATTACACATATCCTATGATATGTAAGCATATGCCAATTTTTATAGATAGCTTAATTATCAGGGAAATAACTCAACTTCAATAGAAAAAAATATATGAAACTCAGCTGATTAAAATCCATAGGCTAATTAGGATTAAATTGTTTGGGGCAAGATTCTGACTCTATAAACCTCTTAGAGAGGACTGTAAAACATTGTGAAGAAGTACATAACAGTGCTATTGCTATTAATTGTGGATTGTTTTATTTTTATTTTTTAGCCATCAAGAACTTACAAAGTTATAGGAGCCAAAAATATTTGAGATTTTCTATCTTTTGAAACAAAGAGAGAATGAATTGGCCTTGAGAGCTTTATGATAGATTACTTTTTACAAAAATGAATGTTCACAACACTTTAACAAATGATGTCATTGTAAAAAAAATGTCATGTAGAAAGCTTCATGTGGAATCATATGAACATTTGTATCATGAGCATGCTTTAATTTTTGTGTTCAGAATAGGCATTTTAAGTTGAAGGAGTAGTGTTGGGGATTTTGTTTAAGTGAAAGTTGCCATTGGCCATTTAAATAAAAAAAAAGTTAGTCCTAGAAACAGTAAAAAACGTATTCCAGCATATGTTTTATATATATATATATATATATATATATATTCTTAAGTTTTCGCGGGTACTTACATGTATGGCATTCAGCTTTGTTCGGGTATTTTCCCACGTCATTGTAGTTGTGCTTTTAAAGTTGTAGCAACGTTTCGGCAGAATCTCATCTGCCATCATCAGGCTTCTGGTGAGAGAAGCCTGATGATGACAGAAGCCTGATGATGGCAGATGAGATTCTGCCGAAACGTTGCTACAACTTTAAAAGCACAACTACAATGATGTGGGAAAATACCCGAACAAAGCTGAATGCCATACATACATACATACATACATACATACACACACACACACACACACACACATTTGCATTTCACATGCCACAAAATACATGTAAATGATCAATTAAGTTATTAAATAAAATAAACTATTAAAATATACATATAATTTGCACTGATTATTTAGAAGAAATTGGTACAATCCTATAGTTCTTTGCAATATAAATAAAAAGATAAAATTAGAATTGAATGATGCAGCTACCCAACTGAGTGTTCCTCGTGTACAGATGTGCTTGAAAGAGATCGATTACAGTGCAAAAGGCATCTTGGTTATATTTTGTGCTTAGGGAAAAATTATTTATATTAAAAAGAAATTAAAAGATCGTCTTTACATTTTAGATTTGGAGTTTATGTTACTTTGAAACCGCAATATTGTGGCCTTCTTATTCAGAAATGATCCCTGTTTTGCCTAGTGAGACCATTCAGGTTTACCATCTAAAAATAGTTTTCAAATCACTATAAGCTAAAAATGGTTAATTTCAGTCAAGGCAACAACCGACAGAATTAAATCCTGGATCAATATGAATATGGATCTAGTCTACTTGTTCCTCTTGCCTTGGTATCTCTGCTTTTGGAAAAATCTACCCAGGCATATTTAATTGCATTCGCTATTTTTGAATACTCAATTTGGCAAGAATAACTGAAGCCAGCAAAGAAACTGGCATAAAATTTTGCATATGTTCTACCTTTAGGCTTCATTATAATGCTCAAAGCATAGGTAATGTGGAAAAATCAGCTGGAGTTTCCTGGCTGTCTGTAAGTTAGAGCAGAGTGCTTTTCTTCCATGGTTTTTTTTTTAATGATTTCCATCTGCTTTGAACATTCTGAATCTTATGATAGTTTGTAAAAGCAGAATTTTTGGTATAGGCCCAGATGTTCAGCTTATGTATTTGCTCAAGGAAGAGCTCTGACTTGATGCCACACTTTTGAGTTCCAAAATGGTCCTTGAAGTAAAAAATAAAATGTTTTGTGGATTGGCTTGAACCTCTATAAATACATGTCATAATATATACTTATACTTTGGGGGCTTCACTTCATGGCCAAATAGAAAGTTGAGATGCCTTGCTTCAAATCCTGCCATATACAAACTCCCTGGTTGATATTAACACATCATTCTGTCAATCATGGTCCTCTGAGTAGCATTATATTGATGTAACTGTATTTGCCAT